TAGATAGATAGATAGATAGATAGATAGATAGATAGATAGATAGATAGATAGATAGATAGATGATAGATAGATAGATAGATAGAAATAATATAGATATAGAAGACAGAGATGGGTGGATGGATTGGTAGGTGATAGAGAGATAAAGAGATAGAGGCAGGCAGGCAGACATGGGCAAAGAGAGAGATGGACAGACTGACAGACATGGATGGAGAGAGAGAGAGAGAACGTGTATGTGGAGAGAGAGATCACTCATACCCTATTAGTTTGCTTCCCAGCGGTGACTGATTTCTGTCTGCTTCTTCTTAACCAGGCTGAACTCATTCAGAGCTTGACCCACAAACTAGAGATCCTGAAGGAAGCCAAGGAGAGCCTCCTAGCAGACATCAAGCTGAACAACACCTTGGGAGAGGAAGTGGAGTCCCTGATCAGCGGCCTGTGCAAGCCCAATGAATTTGACAAGTACCGAATGTTCATTGGCGACCTGGATAAGGTGGTCAGCCTCTTGCTTTCCCTCTCAGGGCGCCTGGCTCGGGTGGAGAACGTCCTCAGCAGCCTCGGCGAAGATGCGGATAAACAAGAATGGGTATGGTGATTTTCCACATCTGAACCCGAACACAGGGGGTCCTCAATTTACGACCGCAGTTGAGCCAAAAAAATTCCTGTGGCTAAGCAAGATGGTGATTAAATGAGCTTTGCCCCATTTTACGGCCTTTCTTGCCACCATTGTTAAGTGAATCACTGCAGTTCTTAAGTTAGTCACACGGTGGTTAAGTGAATCTGGCTTTCCCCATTGGCCTTTTTCTTGTCAGAAGGTCGCAAAAGACGATCACATGACCCCGGGATGCTGCAGTCGTCATAAATCTGAGTCACGTTGAGAAATCAGGCAGATGTAGAACCAGTCTTGAACCAGCAGAGTCCTTGCAAACCCCACTCCCTTCTAGCACTGATGATGTTACCTAGTTGGGTAATGAAATGTCTGCGAGAAAAGATTCAAGCTGAAAGAGCGCCAAGGTCCGCAGAGCAGGGCTGGGAATCAGCCGGTTTGGACCGGTTCGGATGAACCGGTAGTTCCGGCAATCAGTTGGTTCCGCTGCCCTAGTCTGTCCTATATTTCCGTGTTTTGCAGCCCAGCTGATTCGTGCGGCACAGCAGATTGCCGCGCCTCAGCTGTTTTACTCAGCTGGGCTGCAGCAGAAGGTAAGTTTTTGAGCTGAAAAGGGGCGATTCTCAAACGCGAAGCGCGCACTCACCAAACACCAGTTGTTACACCGGTTGAATCCCACCACTGCCTCAGAGTCCTTGCATGGAGGCCCCTTGAGATGAAAGAGGCCCATTGTCAACTCATAAAATATTTCTCTGGTCTTTTAGAGTCGGCAACAGAAAGGGAGGGGGGAGCAGTACAGCAGCTTGCAAAACCGAAAGTGCATTTCCATAAATGTTTTCAAAGATAGTTTCCAGGCGACTGCCGCGCAAAATTCTAACTGGAGAACATGATTGATGACTCTTGGCTATGGATGTGTCCCATTGGAGAATATGAATTACAATACACCCGGGGGTGGGGAAAAACGAGGGTCAAGGGAGACAATGAATGATGTGTCTCAGAATCAGCTACACCCAGGCAGCACCGGCATGTCTACTCCTAATAAATCTTCTTTAAGCTTTGAAAATATGACTAGAGACTCGTGGTTTAAATGGGATAACTACTAGAGCCTTGACACCCATGTTCAGTGCAGCACTCCCATTCAAGGAGCCTTCTACCCAAGCCAGCTTTTGATTTCATTCCCACGGAGGAGATAGTGTAGAATTGTTACATCTCTACCCAATCCATTGAAATCCCCTCACTGTTGTGGTTAGCCAGCAGCAGGTGCAGACGGCTGAAGAGAGTGAGGACTCAGATGAGGAGCCAGGACCATTAGAGAGTGGACTGCTGCCTTCAGAGATTGTGGGGGCTGGCAGCAGCGATGAGGAGGTTCCCGAGGAGCCTGTGCCAAGTGCAGATGCGCACAGGTTTGCTCGCAGGAAAGAGCAGCTGCAACAGCATGGGCGACTTGGGAGTAAGGCTGCAAGGTAATGGCCCCTCCTTCAAGAAGATAAAAGCCAGCTGTGAAGCGAACGTTCTTTGCAGGAAGCAAAGAGGTTTTGAAACTCAGTCTTGTGGACATTCCAGTATCTTAATTTGGACTCTTGTGTTGTGAAATATTTCTTATCTGTGATTCTTGGCAGTCTCGTACAATTTTGGCAAGGTTTGTGCTTATCAGAGTTAATTAGTTTGCAGCAGCCTTTTAACCGGGGATTCGTAAGGCTCATTAAAAGGTTTCTCTTCCCTTTGGTTATGGTTTGTCTTCTTGGAAAAGGGTTTGGGTCAGAACACTCACGTGGAGCTTCCGTTCTAGAAATCTCAGGTCGCAACAGGAACCCACATCATATAGCAAGGGCTGCCATACTGTATTTTTCATTTGCCTCTTTTGTTCCTCCCATTTTTCTCTCCCAGGTTTCTCTGAACGAAAAGCGGAAGATGTTAGCCGGCCAGCATGAAGACGCCCGTGAGTTGAAGGATAACCTGGACCGTCGAGAACGTGTGGTCTTGGACATCCTGTGCAGCTACCTCTCAGAGGAACAACTTCAGGATTACCAACACTTTGTGAAGATGAAATCGGGGCTGCTTATAGAACAGCGGGAACTGGACGACAAGATCAAACTAGGGCAGGAACAACTCAAGTGCCTCTTAGAGAGCCTCCCCACAGAATACTTCCTCGAGAGCAAAATGGCCGCCGAACCTCCAGCGATCCCGGGGACCAACCCGGATAACAGATCGACCCCATCTTTCCTCTGACCTTCTCCAGATGAAGCTCGCATTAAAACACACAAACCCCTTGCATTTATTTAATCCGAGGCAGAGTTTAACTTTTGAAATCGAAGGTGGATTCGTTTTTCTCTTTCGAATTGACGTAGGGAAGCCACAAAGACTTTACGTTCTTTTTTTTTTTTCTTTTTTTGGCCAAAGGTGCTTTTTCAAAAAGGCAACTGGAGTTTATTTTTCTTTGAAGACGTTTCGCTTCCCAGCCGGGAAGCTTCTTCAGTTCTGACTCAAGAAGCTTCTTGGATGAGAAGCCAAACGCCTTCAAGGAAAAAAGAAAAGTCCAGTTGCCTTTTTGAAAAAAGGCCTTTGGGACAACCAGGATCTGGATGATTGAGAAGCTCCATAGATATATACATATTTTTTCCCCTTCTATCTAACAATCACAGCAAATCTGTCTGGAGCACATGAGAAAGGACTTTGTTATAGTGGCTCAAAATGACCCAGGAAGGAAAGCCTTGTGACCTAGGAAGGACATTTGCTTCCAACTGTTCTGAGTTCAAGTCGTGCCCGTTAAAGGAGCGCCCTCTCCGAGCTCCAAATTAAATTATGAAGGATCGACAATAATGAAGCCTTAATTAAAATATCGATGAGCTCTCTGCTGTGTCTTGGACAATATTTATATTTTTTAAAGCTACGAGACAGAATTCCGTAAAGATTTTGTACATACACTACTAACTGGTTGTTTTGATTTTATTTCAACAACACGGGGAGGGCGGGGGTATGGTTTTAATTTTGTGTGTGTGTGTGTGCTTAAAAACAACAAAAAGAAGCACCTCCCCTCCCCGTGGGGGGAGGGGCAAACACCATAATTTGGAGCAGCTGTGTGGATGATACTTAAAAGGACAGACCGAAAAAGCTTTGGGGATCCGAGCCAGGGATTCCTCGTGCACACAACTATTGACACGCAACGAGTTAACTTTGTGCTCATCCACTCAAAAATGGGACGCAGAAGCAGTTCCACATTGGCAAAAGGAAAGAAGTTGGAAGTCCTCAGTTTTACGGGGATGGGGATCTCCCATTTTTGGCGTCGTGGGTTGTACGCTTACGATCCCTGAGAACTGCCTGCCTTCCCAGGTTTTGCAGATCAATTCGCACTTCTCTGCACAATATTGTACGCGGGGGAGACCTCTCTGCCCATTTTTTTCCGCTTTACGCTCAGCAGGATCCCATGAGGTTGGTGAGCGAGATGCGTATGCCTAGAATGTCTCTCCGCCTACCCTGAGCCAGGCGGGCGGGGCGGGAGGACCTCTCCCCGTGAGCCTCCGCTGAAGGTACCAATAAGGGACTCAAGAATGTTTTTGCACAGCAAAATACTGTCTTCCAAGACTGCGGTGTGAGACCCAACCCAACCCCAGCACTTGTGCGAAACCGTACAACTCAGGAGTCAGCATGACACAGAAGCTTCTTCCTACATTTTCCCGCGTGACTTTAAAAAAAAAACAATAAAAGTTGGAACACGCGCCCACCTGCAAAGGGTCAGAGAATTTCTCAAGGTGTTTTTTTTTTATTATTATTTTCCCAATCTCTCTATTTATAGATTTTTTTTAAAAGAAAAGAACAAAACAAAATCCTTGGTTGTTTCTAAACACTGTGGTTCTTCGTTTTTGCTAACCTCTTTGCCTCGGACTGTCCGTAAAAGCGATCCAAAACTAAGATAATGTAGCACAAGAGTTGGGCTGACTGAGTTGACAGTCACACAGCCAAGGGGATTATTATTATTATTTCTTCCTCTTCCTCCTTCTCCTCCTCTTCTTCCTCTTTCCTCTTTCTTCTTCTTCCTCCTCTTCCTCTTTCTTCTTCTTCTTCTTCTTCTTCTTCTTCTTCTTCTTCTTCTTCTTCCTCTTCCCCTTCCCCTTCTCCTTCTTCTTCTTCTTCTTCCTCTTCCCCTTCCCCTTCTCCTTCTCTTTCTCCTTCTCCTTCCTTCTTCTCCTTCTTCTCCTTCTTCTCCTCCTCCTTCGTTCGATCCGAAGGATTTCTTCCTAATTTATTACAGCAGGGAAGTCATTTCCTAATTTCTATGTTTTGTATGCGCTCGGAGCCGTCGTTCTACAAGGCTCTACATTGCTTTAGATCAGGGCTTCCCAACGTTGGCCACCTTAAGACGCGTTGACTCCAACTCCCAGAATTCCCCCAGCCAGCAGAGGAGTTGAAGTCCACACTTCTTGAAAGTGGCCAAGGTTGGGAAACCTAGATCAGGGGTCTTCAAACTTGGCAGCTTTAAGACGGGTGGGCTTCCACTCCCAGAATTCCTCAACCAGCCATCTTGGCTGCAGACTGTTGGGAGTTGAAGTCCACAAGTCTTCAAAGTTGCAAGTTTAGAGACCTTTAGAGCAGGGGTGTCCAACCTTGGCAACTTTAAGACTGGTGGTTGGTGGACTTCAACTCCCAAAATTCCTCAGCCAGTTTTGCTCTAATCTCTAAAAGCGGCCCCTATTGCTTAACAGTCAGCTTTTGTGGCTGAGGAATTCTGGGACTTGAAGTCTACCAGTCTTAAAAGTTGCCAAGGTTGGAGACCCATGCTTTAGATGAATTCAAGGGGCAGGAATGTATGTGATAATCTTTAAAGCGGCATCTGTTGCTTAAAAAGCTTTATGCTGGGCTACGACTGTAATAAAAGAAAGTGATGAAGATGATGATAAAGCAGATATTCCTAGTAAATGATCTTTGGGGGAATTCTCCGTTGGAAATCTTTCGCCCAACCTCAACTTATTCCTCCTGCCTGCCCTTTGAAGGACCTTTGGGGTCTCAAAAGCCAGCTAGAGGAAAAGCTGGGGTATAACAAGAAAGAATGAGAAAGAAGACGGAGGCAGCCCCTCCTTTAATGGGGTCTTGGAGCAGAAAACAGGATCCCTGTCTCTGTTTAAGAATGTGTAGTTTCACTAAAGTAAAATTACTTTTAAAAAAATTGGAATATATTTTAAGACCGTTAATTCTGGATACTTTTATTTTTATAACGCCTATGTAAGAAGAGTCTCAATGTTATAAAACAGTTAGTCTCTCATTTTTCTTTCTTTTTTTTTTTTGAAAAAAAATACCCTTGTTTGGGTTTGCACACTGCATTAAACCATGGTTTATTTAACCCTGGCTGGTTTGCTAAACCACAGCAACATGGTCCATACATAACACTGTTTATAAGCTATGGTTTATAAACCACAGGGGTTAAATTTATGCAATACCTAAGCCAATAACAGATTACATTAAGGTGTACTGTAACATGTGTACCTGGTTGATGTATTTTCCTTTTTTTTTAATGAAACCTGTCAGTACAAATAATCATGTTATGATAGCTAAAGATATGCAAGTTCAACATTTGGCCAAATGCAGAGAATCACTGTGGGGTAACATCATCAGTGCTGGTTAAGAATGGGGTTTATTCTCAGTTTATATGCAGTGGCTTGCTCTGCAGTGGTGGGATTCCAAATTGCACACTACCAGTTCTGCGCACTTCACAATCCGCTTTGTTGTGCAAATCAGCTGAACTACAAGTCAATGGAATGGGAAAGGGCTGAGGTGGGTGGGTGGGGCCAGTCAGAGGTGGTATTTGCCGGTTCTCCAAACTGGTCAAAATTTCCACTACAGGTTCACCCAAACTGGTCCAAAGCGGCTGAATACCACCTCTGTGTTGTACCAATAGTGTTTATATATTTGTATATAAAGAGAGAACAAACCCACTCCTAGCACTGATGACGTTACATAGTTGGGTAATGAAATGTCTGCGAGAATACAGCCAAGCTCAGAGAGCACCAAGGACCCCACAGTTCAACCCTGAGCTACAAATATTTTCTGTTACCAGTACAGAGATACCACTGGAATCAGAGGCATTCAGTAAAAACTATAATGATGACACTGAACTACATTCTATGCTTCTTTGGCATGATGACATCATGCATCTAATGTCATTGGCATGTCCCCCCCCACACACACCCATAATTGGGGAGTTCTCAGGTGTATAGGGGTGGTATGCAGGTGTCATCCCTATCATGGTGGCCAAATTGTTTGATTTTATTTTATACCTGTAACTCATCGAAACCTGTAACTTAAGATGGAGAAACTAGATTTGCACCTGTCTGCTTCTTAAAAAACATGGACCATACAACTCAAGTGAATGGAATGCTTCCATCTGGTGCTACCTTCATGTCCACTTCATGTCCAGATTTGATGTGCTGCTCCTATGCTTTTATAAGAGGTCCATTCCATTGCTTCATCAATGATCTGATCCATCAATCATGAAATGCCTTGGCTTGTTCAATCATTCTTTGACGTACAAACCACAGTTGGCTAAGATCATGCTATAAACCAAAGCTCAAAAACCTGGTTTTACACATCAGTGGCTAGGTTGACAGATCAGTTAACCCAAAATCAACCATGTTACAGCTTAGCAACTATATAATCCAATCAATCGTTCACAAGATTAATCTTTTCCCCACAATTCAGAATTCCCACCCAGACATATGATAGAAGATTCTTAGTTCTGTTTTATCGATATCAAGCAAGACCGAACAACTGCAAATTAGCTATGACCAAGGAATAAATCGGAGTTTTCCAAACATGGCAATTTTAAGATTTGTGGACTTCAACTCCCAGAATTCTTCAGCCAGCGTGTCCCCAAGTCTTAATTGCCAAATTTGGAGACCCCCTGGAATATACAAACTCACCACATAGGCAGCATGAGTGTCTAGTAGTGCAGGGCCCAAATTATGTAACTTGCATCATTTAAACCAGTGTTTTTCAACCTTGAGAACTTTTTGTAAGGTGTGTGGACTTCAACTCCCAGAATTCCCTAGCCAGCATGAGGAATTCTAGGAATCGAAGTCCGCACACCTTAAAATTCTCAAGATTGAGGAACTGGTTTAAACAACATGACCCATGGATGTCCAATCTGGATTTAGTAATTTACTCAGGTCCACTCTAGCCAGGTTTAACTCTTGGCCGGTAAAGTCTCTCATTGAACTTCTGCTAAGTTTACAAGTTTTCCTGCAGAAGGAGATGAACTGAGAGCTTTGATGGCACATTTCTAGCAACCGCACAACCTCAACACCTTTTGTACCTTGCTGAGGAAAATATACTTAACAACTTTTATGAGACCAGAGTGGATTGCCAAGAAAGGTGCTTTTGGAGAGGAAAACTTGTAATAATATTCTGCACATTTTGTAGCTTAGTCAGTTGTTCCTTATGAAGTGGTCTGCCTGGTATAATTTAAATAAAATTACACCCATGGAGCTCTGAGAACATTGGAGTTGACTAAATTACCCCGTCCTAGGCTTCACACCTTTGTGAAGTTTAATTTCCAGAATTCTTAGCAATGCTTATGCCCTCTGGAAGTTGAAGTCCAGAAACACTGAGGTTAGAGAAGCCTTAAGGGCCCTTCTAAAACAAGGACTTCAACTCCCAGAATTAGTCTGCCAGCCATCTTGGCTGCAGAATTCTGGGAGTTGAAGGCCACAAGTCTTTAAAGTTGCAAAGGCTACCCTTTGCAAAAGCTAGGATCTTTGGCTCCCCAAATTCACCGACATTTTTGTGCCATCGTGTCTTGAGAGTGGTATTTGGGGGGCCGACAGACAGAAGGACAGTCACTTTTTGGAGGAAATAGTAAAAATGTCCCTCACAGCATTGAGAAATTTTGGTTGGGCTCTTGGTATCTTCACAGCTGAGGAAGTGCAACAAGGCAAGAATCCTAACAGAAACACACACACACCCATCCTCAAGCAGGGTGTCCAACCTTGGCAAGTTTGAGACCTGTGGCCTTCAGCTCCCAGAATTCTGCAGCCGGCATGGGGAATTCTGGAAGAAGAAGTCCACAGATCTTAAAAGCTGCCAAGATTGGACACCCCTGTCCTAGAGCTTACATGGAAAATGGTCTTTCTGCATTTCTCCTGGAGCAGCAGCTGAGCTGAAGGTTTACTTGCTGAACTCCAGTCTTCCTGAGTCCTAAGGTAGCAACCTCAGGACATGAGTTGGGAGCAAGATGTATCTTGACCAATTTTAAAGCAGGGGTCTCCAACCTTGGCAACTTTAAGCCTTCAACTCCCAGAATTCCCTAGCCTCCTTTAAAGGGAGCCCAAGCCTTTTAAAATGTTACCTCAGGCATAGTAGTTGAGTTTAACATTTTGAGAAACTTGTTTGTTTTATGTGTGAGTAGTCAACACAAGTCCCTTTTCAGAGCTGGTGGTTTTCCAAAATTTGAGGATCTGTGTCTTAGATCTTAAGTAGGGTCTGACTCAGCCTTTGGCATACACACACACACACCCAGAAAAAAAAAAAAAAACCAGAGCCTTGGTCCTTGAAGCAATTTAATATTCAACCCACTAATGTTTACGGACTACAAGATGAATGGCACCATATACCAGGGAAACTCACATTGCTTTGCAAAAAGTTTTCCATGCTAAAAAAAAATTATCATGTTTTCTTTTCCGATAAAGAACCGCTAGGTCCTGATTCTGAATTCTAGTCTTCTCAGAAATTCACTCTTCGCAAAGAGGAAAATCATCCACCTTCACACCATAAGCCTCTGCAGGCATTGAATTTTTTTTATTATTATTATTATAAACTCCTAGAACCCTTCTATTTGCAAAGTTGAAAGCCTTCAAACTTTAGAGCTTCATCAATCTCCATAGACCATTTTCAAACTCAGATGCGTGCTGCTATTTCAGAATTATCCCCTGGGTTGATGCATGTGACAGTCTTAAGACGAGATAGCATGAAAATTTTTGTGTCTTTCATTCCCATTAATTTCCCTTGTTGGTACAGAATGTCTGTTCTGGAATGATGATGTCTCTCTCTCTCTCTCTTTTTTAATATGTTTGTGCACAAACTGAGTGCGGGCCATGTTCTGTAGCAAACCAATCAGATCTGCCAAGAACAGATAGTCTTTGACTTACAACAGTCCTCGTTTAGTGACAGTTCGAAGTTACAATGGCACTGGAAAAAAGGTGACTTATGACCATTTTCCACACATACGACCATTGTAGCATCCCCATGGTCATGTGGTTTACAGTGTCATGTGATCACCTTTTGATGAGCAAAGTCAACGGGGCAAGCTGATTCACTTAGCAACCGTGTTACTAATTTAACAACTGCAGTGAACCACTTAACAAATGTAGCAAGAAAAGCCGCCTTCTCTCTCCCACTTTCTTTCTTCCTCTCCTCCTCTCTCCTCTCCTCTCCTTCTCTCTGATTCTCCCCTCTCTCCTCCTCCTCTCCTCCTCCTCTCTT